AAAGGTCTTGATTATTGTACAATCGGGATGAGTTTATATCGTTAAAAATGTCCATAGTTTACAAGATACAAGGTCATTTCTTAATTATTGATATTTTTAAAGATATAAGCTCGTCTCGATGTTACACTCACCAAGAGCTTTCATTTGAGTACCCATATGCGTTTTTGGTATATTTTTCATATATACATATATAATATATATAAATATATAAAATATATGAAAAATGCATGTGGATACTCAAATGGAAGCTCTTGATGAGTGTATCATTGAAATGAGCTTGTATCTTAAAAAATTTCAATAGTCCACAAGATACAAGGTCATTTTTTAATTATGTATCTAGAGTCTATTTTCGAATGCTCGAATTTTAATAATTTTTACAGTGGAAAGAAAAATTTTTTAAATTCTAAATGTAACTTTTTTAAAATGTTTTTTTATTGATGATTATCATTAATTATAAAATAATCTGCTTTTTTTAGTATCGTCAATAATTTACTCAATTAAAAAAAAATTCAATCATTTAATAATCTTCCACTATAAATTTTTTACTTTTATTATAATAGATAAAAAAAGCGAAAAATTTTCTTTGAATTAAATAAAAATTATTCAGATTAATTTTTCAGATAAGAAAATATATTTTCTTCTAATAATAATAATTATAATAATTATTAACAATATATTTCTTCTTGTATAAAGAAAAATTTTTTCAATAGATTTTTTTACTCTTACTGAAAAAAATCTAAAAAATTAATTAGAATAAAATCAGATGTACCTATTAATTTTAATCTAAAATTTTATTGATTATTATTATAATACCAATGAATCAGAAGATATCCACAGAATTCAAAGGTTTTTTCTTAATAAAATTCCTAGTTATTCAAAAGATAAAAAAAAATCTTTTTCAATAAGTAGAATTTATATTTTTTTCCTTATTTAGATATTTATTAGATAACGGAACTTTTTTTGTAGGTCGAGCGCGGCTCACGTGTGACATCGACGAGCGTTGGAACGGACCACCGCCGCGATGCGAGCCCATTCGGTGTGACCCACCTCCATTGGTGAGTCACAGCACTATTCAGCTGGACGAAATGAATGCTGACAACAACCTGGACAATAAAAACACAAACCGTAGCTTAATAGTGGGCAGTATTGTCACTTATACTTGCGATAAGGGCTACCAAGTCTCTGGTAGTCGACAAATTTTGTGCTTACCCACCGGATTATACGATCACCCGGCTCCGGTTTGCTTGCGTAAGCATAATAATTTCTTCCTACAAAAATAAATTCTATTCAATTTTAATATTAATATTACTATAATAAAATAACAATATTTTATTTCCAGTCGAAGAAAGTCGCACGACGACCCGAGCAACCTCACGACCGCCTGTTACGCGTGGCAAGCCGTTTTACCCAGCAAGAACGCGGACCACAACAGAGCAGACTTCAACAGACTCCACCAACGCAGCAGCTGAAGAAAAAATTTCTCTCGCTGAATTACCAGCTACTGTTCGCGAGGCTGCTGTGAAAAAGCCCGCAGTTTCGCTCTACAGACCCTTTTCTTCTTCTTCCTCTTCGCCTATACAACACACCAGCAACTACAATAATAATAATAATAATAATAATAATAATAATAGTGATGATGACCATCCACAAGACAATGAAATTTCAGGAAGCGGAGTTGATAATGCTCGGGCAAAAATTGCATCAGGCGTCGCAGAGCCAACAGGTCCATTCAGGGTTGACAGTACTGGTTATCAACCCAAGCTCAGTCTTGGGGGTATGATTACTCTAGGTGTCGTCGGATTTGTAATCGTTGTGTCCGTGATTGCTACCACTGTAGTAGTTTTCATGAAAAGGTAAGATTTAAATATATAATTTATTTTTAAATAATATGATACTGAAATTAAGACACTTGAAAATTTATTTTAAATAAATTGCATTTATAATTTTTTAGATCTTAAAATGAAATTTTTTTTTTTTGCTATAATTTACAAGCAACCTTGGTAAATTGAACTGTATTTTCTTAACTATTGATGTTTTTAAAGATATAAGCTCATTAGGATGTTACACTTATCAAGAGCTTTCATTTGAGTACCCACATGCATTTTTGATATATTTTTCATATTTACATATATATATATATATAATATATATAAATATATAAATATATGAAAAATTGATGTGGGTACTCAAATGAAAGGTCTCGATGACTGTATCATCGAAATGAACTTATATATTTGAAAATGTCATTAGTTGACAAGATAGCAATG